AAAATTAACTCTATCCCAGCCGAAACCAGGACAATGACTATGGTCATAATAACTATCAAAAGACATCCCATAAGGGGACAGGTTCAAGAAGAGGCAGTTCTGTACCTTTCAATGTGCAGTACAGGAGCAGGTCCTAACATGAAAAAGCACAGTGCTGTCATTAAGACTCCAGATACCAGCAGCCACTTCCTGAGGTACTGTGAAAGAAAAGGAAGAGGTATGTAACTTGGTGAATTTGTGATGTAACTATTTTGTCTTTCCTAATACCCCTCTTCTAAATCTTCATCTCCTGAAAAGTACTGCTCCTGTAGAGACCATGATTATGCACAAATTGGGAATTCTCAATTTCTCTGCCAGTTCTGAACACCACCAAGAAATACTGAATTCATGCTTCCTTGCCACCAATGCAATCACTGGCAGCAGCGGCTTAATACAGAGATCGCTTCGGGATACTGAGTAACAGTTCTTCACTGTTAGCAAAGTACTTTAGGTCTTACTCTTCCTTAGTATAAGAAATATCATATAGCATTGCATGTAATTCTTATGTACAAAGGCCATTATTAGTTTGTGTTGGGGAAAAACAACCAGTGTCAGAAAACTGGCACTGTCCTTCGTGCACAGTATTCAAAGGTTTCCTTGATCAATTAGCAGTGGCTGTCAACCAGGCAGTTTTAGGTGCATCACTGTCGAAGTCTCTTTCTATGCTGCAGTTAAGAGCTGGAGAACCGTAGTCAGTCGATGTGCTGATCTAATTTGGATATTACACCTTCTAAGAGATAAAGTCAATACAGCTAACCAGAACATCTTTACTCCTTTTCTCAAAAGCTAATAGAATTAGATGTGGACAAAAGCATGAATAACTGGGACGTGTTTTCCCCCTCTCCGTTCCATATTGGCTGGAAATAGATTGCGCTTAGTCCACCAGAAAAGCTCAACACATTTCAACTACAGAATACTTGTCCAACATCCTTTACTATTTTGGACATTCTTACATTACCTGGACCTTGTAAAATTGCAAGAGACCTTCAAGTTGGCAGTGTTCAGTGCACATGCAAGGTCCTGAAAGACAGATCCCTTTACAGGACCAGGCCTACGTCCATTGCTTCAATGTGGGAAGTCCTCCAGTTTTAACTAAATGTACAGAGTGCTTTACTAACCCTGCACAAACAGCAGGGTCGTACTCACTGGCAGTTTGTCAGTTAGGAGTCCGAGGAGGGGAGAAGACAGGGAGTATGAGAGTGCCAAACCAAGGAATACCAAGCCCACATAACCAGCTGGGAGTTTGAACTACAGGAAGGAAGACAAATAAAACAAAAAGCAAATGAAACCATATATGCTACATTCACTAAAGGACAATCCAATAATTATATTTTAGGTCAAAATACTGAAATGCATGATTTTAAGTATTTTACTGACACTATACAGAGGTTTTTGAAGTATTTGAAGTCATCAGCAGAGCTCCAGTTCCCTTCCACTTCCGTTTCCAAGCATCTAGTGAAAACACTTGTCATGACTGTACTCAGATAAAGCCTAAATAATCTCAGGAGGAAACACTATGCTATGTCCCTACACCAGCACACTGGATTCTGCCATCAATATCTGGCACATTTGAAACAGACACTTCAGACACTGAAATTTAGATGGATTTAGTCTTTCTCTCTCCAACCTTCAGGTTTTTTTCCACTTAGAAAAGCATAAATACTGTGGTCATCCACTACTAATCAGCGCATCTTAGAAGTTAGTAGTGTGTTTTATAAACACAACTCTGGCTTTTCAACCAAAAGACGATTTTTATGAGAATGAATAAGAGGGTTTTTGCACACACCCTGAGGTCTACATTTTCCTAATGCAGTCACATTTCTGTATTGAAACAAAATGTCTAATGAACAAAAAGCATACTAGTCTCTCAAATGAGTGCTTTAACTACCAGTTAGAAGGTATTCCAAGATGTTTCATGTGGCATGGACTACATAAATATGCACTATTTCCTTGCCATATGCAAGCATATGATAATAACTCTAATTTAGTGATTAGAACACCTGCCAAAAAGGCTACAGCCCTTTCACAGCAAGTATCTGTTAGCACAGAGCAGAGGGAAAGCAGAAGAGCCACACCAGTGTGCAATTTCTACAGTGGAATAATTACAGATCCCTCCTGGGTGGTGGAAGACATACATTCACATCTCCACTGATGGAAGAGGTTAGCACCAAGTCTCCTCCACCCTGGATGAGTGCTCTAAGTACTGGATGAGACAGACGAAAAGTAGGAGCACAACAACCTGTGAAATGCTATTCCCTGGAAAAACAATTAATAAATAAACCACTCAAAAAGCATTGCTTAATTTCAAACAGGAACAGAATCTTAAACTGTTTACTTCAAAATTCATTACCTTAAACACCATGGGGAAAATAAATAAATAAAATTAAGTAGGAAACAAATAAATAAATACTAAAATAAAAGTAAATAAATAGAACAGCATTTGCCTTTTTAATGAATGAGTGAAGAAGTCAGCTGGCAAGCTACATAGTTGCAATCAGTTTAATTTTGGTATCGCTGTAAGACAAAACAGGGCTGTGACATCATGTCCCTGAAAACAAATGTCCACATCAAGAGATACAACACTGTGACTGCTGCAGTTTTACAGAATTTGCTTTCAGAAAGGAGGAAAAAGTCCCCCGTTTACAAAGCCAGCTACTATGCCCTGCTCAGAGAGGGTACTCTGCAGCTAAAAGACAATTAAGCGCCAAAAGCACATTTTTAAAGGCCTTATATTTCCTCAGTCTCAAAGTTACCGAGGCCCAGCAGCAACAGATGGTGTCAATGGAAACTGTGATTTGTCAGTACTGTGGAAATCAAGTTATTTGGAAATCATATTATTAACAGTTAATTAAAGCAGTGTAGTTGGATATAGCTTAATTTTGTTTAGGATAATTAAACCACATTTATAACCAGTTATTTACTATTTAACAAGTTAAGACTTCCCTGCATGTTAACAGGACTTACCTTCTTTAGGATAAACAGAGACATTGTGGGATCCAAAAAGCCCAAGCACGCACTTAGAGAAAATATAGTAAGACAGAGTAGTAAGACTTTCGGCAGAAGAATGAGCTTCCAAAAGGAGTCCTTGCTAGGGATCGAATCTGTTTCAAAAGAAAAGGGTGGGAAATTGCATTATTTTCAGCAGCATAAGCTCATGATTGATCTTCTTGCTTTAGAAAAGAAATCAGTATTTCCCTTTTTGTAGTCCCATTACTCTTGTTATCTAACAGATGAAAGTCAATAGTATACTATTAAACACTATATTATTTTTATATTAAAAAAACAAATTTAACAGGTGAATAAATTTAGATTTTAACAACTTAGATTCCAACACTGCAAATCCCAACTTGAAAAGAACGAAAGCATGTACTATTCCCAGTTATGTGAAAGTACAGTTACTTCTCCGCTAGCCCTTATACAATGAAAATCTCATGGATACATCTCAACTTAAAACAACATGCACACATGCATGAACCATTCATATCCAATCAGAGAAACATGCTTTAAAAGTAAAATAAGAAGATTGCTATTTATCAGTTGAGATCTGTCCAAATTTTTAAGCAACTAGTCATTTGGGTTTCCTACATATTCAATTTGTACTCCAGACAGGAAGCTTCTTTCAGATGTCATGGTTAGATGTAGTTTCTGAGTCAGGCTCCCTTCCTGATGCTGTTGGTACTTTAACAGTTGAATGTGGTCTCAAAGTATACATAGAAGTAAAAGTTCATTCATTAGCATCACCAGCTCAGAGCTACCATTTATTTAATGTAGTTTCAAACTGGCTAGTAATATCATGACTCCATACAATCTCAGAGCTCGGGGAGGTTGGGGGGAAGCCAGCAATAGCAGCCCATAGTTAACCACTATAAGTTTCTTCTAAAAGCCAATATATATGAAGTTATTCTCCAAGGTTTTCATATTTAAGAGGAAAAAGATATTTTAAAAATTATTTTAAAGTTGTTAGTTTTTATTCTAGAAGAGACTAACAGAACTCTAACCTTTGCAATTATGATCTTGTCTGAAGACTTATCTTTAAGTTAACTTTCTGTCCAAGGAGGACCATCTAAACTTTAATCAAATTTATGACCTCCAACACTTCAGTTAAACACCTCTTTTATTAACTTTAACATTCTTTCATGTTAATCAGATCCTGCATCATTCAGTACAAAGAAACCCTTTTTGTTCCCCCCGTAATTCTGTTTTTTATCCCTCTGTTAACCCCTCAAACATGTCAAGTTCTCTTTGTTTTAGGCAAAACCTCTCTCTAGCTTTTCTTCAACTAGCTGTAATGACAAGCTGATACAAAGAAGACACAACTGATCCTTTATAAGCCCTGAAGCTAAAGAAACAAACGAAAACAAAAATTTATCTCAGTTCGGTTCCACACAGAGTTCTTAGTGTTTGCAGAGATGGGCATGAGGTGCTGGATTCATTCCAGGCCATCTGCATGCATTAATTTTAGTTTGCATTAAAACATGGGCCTGATCAAGATCACAAGTTAATTCAGCTGGAGCTTTGCCCTCTGAGTTGTATCAGACTCCAGAAACTGCTATTTTCTAACACAGTTATATACATAAGAAATTAAGGTGAGTGAAGGAGACAGGAAGAAGGGTGCTTACCATATTTTGGTAATATGAACATATTCACAGGCACCAAGACCAACACTACGCATCCCAGTGTAATGAAAGGGACCTCATAACCAAACGATTGATACAAAAAGCCACCTAAAGGCGGGCCCAGCACCAGTCCAAGTCCTGTAAAAATTTCAAGGCTGCCCTAAAGGATGAAAAAGAAAGCAAGCAAGCAAAGTCAGAATGTTGAGAAACTCTACTGTAACAATAGAAGCAACCCATTTTTCTGAGGAGCAGCACAACATAGTCAGGCTACTAAAAAGAAAAAGGCACTGCATCACTAAGGGGAATAAGGGCTGGTAGCAACCTTCACAAAGTGGGACAGAGAAAGGAACTTTACAGTTGTCTCCGTGACAGCCATCACCTCTTTTGCTTCACTATGGGAAACCACCTGTACTGCAGCATTAGCCACTCTGCTGTCACCTAACACATCCCAGTCCCGAGGCAAGACAAATGCTCTACTGATGGAAAGCATCTCTAGGACTACTCAGGCTGAAGTGATCATCTCTCGACCTGCAGTTACACTCCAGCCTGAGGGGGAGGACCCAAACAAAGCTACTGGGATGGGTCATTATCTCATGGGATGAGATACATGTGCCAAGTTAAAGCTTTCTCCGACCATTCGGATTCACTGACTATGGGTAGGAAATAACAGTGAAATTGCAACGGGGATAACTCAGACTATTTTGGCTTTAATTTCATAATCTGGCATCTTTTGTCAGATAGTAATTTTCAGAAGGACAATAATACAGTTACACTTAAATCTTGTGTAACACCACCATAGTCACCACTGTCAACATCCGCCCCAATACTTGACTAATCAGTGCTTAGACCAACCCCTGTCAACAAGTAACAGCTGGTGGTAATAACTGCTTACTGTTAAAGTTTTGCTAACTTCTGGGACCCAGAAAGATAGTATATGAATTCATCCTCATCTTTAATTTTACTGATACAAGTCAGAGTGGTCAAATGGCCCAAGAGCAGGCACAGTCAGCAATAGCCAAGTTCTTTACCCTAGTTCAGCCTAGGATCCCAGCCTTTTCCTTTCCTAGGAAAGGAAATAACTAATTACAGCATATGACTAGGAAGTCCTCAAAATTAGTTCTAGATAGATTTGAGTCATTTTGGTAAACTTCAACACATGGCATGCCCATGAGTTAACATAACTGCATCCAAATAATGCTTTTACTTGCGTTGCTCACCAACCATAAAAAATATTTTCTGATTGGTGAGACTTCAGTTCAAATCAGGCTGTACATCATTTAGCCCCTCTAAGTTAATTATTGGGTGGGGGAAGGAAGCTAAGGCTTTGCATTACAGATCAGGGGAGGATAAGGTATATCTGATACTGTAAGAAAAGTGATATTGCTTATGTTCTGAAGTTCATACCTCCTCCAACAGAGGGATCATGTTGACGGATGCTGAACTTCCCACTTCAACAAGGCTGATATGCCTACGTTTAATAACATTCCCCATACATTTCCTAGGGTACCCAATGGGTAAAAGGTTGGCTGAAAACTGGTACCAAAAGGATAAGGAGAGGAAAAGTGCTTTTCAATATCTAGCACTATCAAGAAGGGCAATGGAAAGCAAGGCAAAAAATCTCTCATCCATTCCTTTAGGCTTTATGATTTTACCATAGGATGCACCTTGCTTCAACTCATCAGTTCTTCTTCCTCCTGCCTCTGCCACCACCATAAGCAGAGCTCACAGTAACAAGAACTCTCCACCACATCTATTTAAGGACAGTAAGTCTACATGAATGAATTTGAAAAGCTTTTATTCTCATGCAGAACAAGACATTAAGTGTATATAGTATGGCAAACAGACCAATATTTAAAAGTGATCTGTCTTCTGACAGCACCCTTTCTAGATTTTAGACAAAGGTAGCTACCAAGCCATAGCTGTGTAGTGCTTCTGACTGTGGTCTTGAGGTGACCTTCATCAACACGCACCATTTTCAGCTATGCATCATGTTTATTGTGCTGCCACCACAGAATTTCATTTTTTTAAGTCTTATTATAAGACAGATCACTAAGTCTGTTTAAGTCAAGGTTACTTTACTTACCTATTTAAATTATATTTTTAAATCTGCCATCAGGAAGGCTTAACCTTATTGACTGAATAAATCCAAAACATGATTACAACGTATAACCCACTTTCCAAAAAATTGCCAACTCCTCACTGTTGATGCAATTTAGTAGTTTTTTTGCTAGTTAGGAGGTCACATTTTTATAGAAATTTATCTACAGAAGTAACTATACAGTTTAACAACAATATTAATAAAAGCATCAACTTTTCCAATTTTATTAAATGTTCTGAAGGATGTTCTTGACATTTGTTCACTCATTAAAATTTAACCCGGTTATTTCTGTCATTCTATATTTGAACCGAAACCAGAATTTATTGAAAAAAAAGAAAGAAAAAGCAGCACTTTATTAAATACAAAACTTTTTTTTTTTCCCTAATACCATAAAAAAAATTACTAAATAAGGGTAATATCTCTGGTTGAAATGAATCATTGATGACCAGGAATAATGCCCTCCAGATTTCAAGAAGTTCTAGCTCTCCTCTTCTCATATACCACTTTTATCAATAGATGAGAAAAATGAAATAAAAATTGTTTCCCATTTTGCATCTTTCAATCATTTAAATCAAGACTATTTGAATGAATTAATCAAATTTCTTGAATCAATCCACATGGATTCTTACTATCCATGTAGAAGTAGTCACTGAAAGCTGTATTAGTATTTTAATAGTCTGATGTCAACTGAAGAAATAACTACTGCCATCAATGCTCAGCTGTCTTCAAAACATAAGCAACTAATACATACTGCTTAATTTATATCTAATTGGAGTTATGCTGAGGTGTAAACTTGTTCAGGATTGTGATTCTAAATTACAAAAAACCATCATGCGATTACTTCAAATATGCCTGTATATGAGACAGCAGATTTTTTTCCTCCTGGCTTTAGGCTGCCTACTAGCAATTTATCACACTGCAGGTACTCAGCTGTAACACCGGTTTTTGCACTTACCAGGACAGTAGCTATATTACTGGGAAATGCCTTTGCAAGGATTGAAAATGATGCTGTCATTGCTGCTGCAAAACCTACTGCATCCATTGCTCTTACTAAAAAGCACAAACCGATGAACACTGGTCCATTTGGCACCTTGTCCAGCATTCTGAAAAAAAAAACAACCAACCCAACCCAGTAAATGGAGATCTCTCAGGATGCAACAAGTCATCTACTAAAGGCCCTGGAGCATCATTTCTTACTCATTAAAGGACACAGTTACAAGACACACAATGCTTTCTATTGCGACATCTTTTTGAATCACATCGGTGAAGTCATTCAAACTCTACCAAACTATTGCTGGCAGCTTTCTCCTTTTCCCCCTTCTTTGGCGGTGAGAAGAGCGTGAAAAACCTAACCTGTGAAAAACCCCAACACTGTCTTCTGTTGTATTTCATAGCTTTTCCAAGCAACTGTGCAAGGAGTCTGACGCAATGAGTTACAACTACCTAATAAGAGCTTCCTTCATTGTCAATAAAACTTTTATTTTGCCAAAATGAGTAGCTTAGCCTCTCTGCCTGCCAGGCAAAGCTTCTCATTTGTACTCTGTATTTTTAAGAAAAGAATAATTAAAATATTATGCATAAATAGTCCCCTTATTGCTGCACTTCGACAGACTGCTTGCGATTCATCAACTATGGTAGTTATTTAAATATGTAGAACCTTCCTCCTTTGCTTTCAAACTACTAAACAGGCTTTCAAACCTACTAAAAGGGAGAAGTGTTCATTCTGCTTTACAAGGGATAAAAAGTAAAGATGCAAAAAGTTAGGTGACCTAACCAACACCCAAAAGATGCCCAAGAGTTTCCCGTTTTGTTTTGTGTCCATCTTTTCACATGGATGAAAATTATTAGAAGACAAATGCAACAAACCCAACCAACAAAAATTACTCACCCAAACAGAATGGTCACACATCCTGAAACAAACATCCCTGCCACAAACATGAATTTTGCTCCAATATGCGTAAGCTGTAAATTAAATACCATTTTTACATGTTATTATTTCAGGCCTAGACCAAAAATCTTTCAAAGTAAGTTACTGTGATGAAATCAAAACATTATGGGCACTTTACAGTGTATGTAACTAAAAGATCTGGAGACACTGCTCCTGCCAGTGTGCCTTCATGCAATACTGAACCTAAAAATATTCTAAACGGTTAAGTGACTTAACCCAGTTTTCAGAATGGTAAGACAATGGTGCAGTTAACTATTTCACAGCACCGTGCTGCAGCTTCTGCAGAGGAGCAGTTTACAGCAGCATTCCTCATTATAAACAAAGAGAAAGTAACACATTCCCCCTCCAGCACTGTCAGTGATGCCAAGTCAGCAATACCTGTCATGTACATGGCTCAGGAGAGTCAATGGAAGCCAATTTTAAAGCAAATTTATCACAACCATTAATAGCACAAAGCTTTGGCAGAGCAAGCATGGTAGCTTCAGGCTTCCCCATTCATTACCAGGGAAAGGAGCCCACCTTACTTCATTTCAGACTGCATCACCAGGGTGAAGGACGACAAGAGGCACGCCATAAAGCTAACTCAATCCCATAACAAAGTACATCTGAGCTTCTAATTCCATGCTGTAACTTCCCCTGAGGACAGCAGGTATTTCAGACTCTTTTCTCGTTCAGGCCTGGACAAAGTCCCTGTGTTTCAGCCCTTATTACTAAAGCCCATACTTTGCCGAATTTCACTGAAACCCTCAGGATTTCTGAATGCTGGACTGTCCACCTCCATTGGTGCTCACTGTCTGCAGTGAGGATGGCACGCTCACTCTCTCTCCCCCCTGCAAAGTACTCAGTGAGGGTTGCGCCATAGCTGAATGCCATCACACTGAGGCATTGAGACTGGACTTACCAATGGCACTTGTGTGACACCTTGATGAACCACCTCGCCACCAGAGAAAATCACTCACCATGGGGTCAGCAAAGAGACTGCCCAGCCAGAGAAAGAGAAGACTCTGAAACTGCAGCAGCCCCAACTTAGGGTATGATCCTGAGCAGCCCTAGCCAAAAATGCATAGACAGTGGTGCTCCAGCATATAAACGAACAAACTGTTATATAATTTATTTGTAATTTCTCCAGCATGAGAAAAATCCTGAATCTGCGGGAAAACTGAAGCTGCAAGAACTGGAGACATTTATCTCATATTGCTGTACAATGAAGTGGAAGGGGAAACTGAATTAAGCAGCAGAGAGTCGTAGTAGGAGGAAATGTTAAGAAAAAGACAACATACCAGAAAAGAAGGGGTGCAGCTATCTAAAGGGCAGGGGAAAAAAAAAAAAAAAAGGCAAACAATATATAAGTGCAATAAATAAAATGGGGGGTAGGGATAAAGGAGAACTCGTCGGCAGATTACTCTGAAGCAAACAGAACGGTTACCCAGAGAAACAAACCAGCTACGTGTCTGCCACCCTATGCTACCCTCAATAACTGTAGAAGAGTAATTTTTAAATTGTACTGACAAGACTTAGATCAGATTCAGACTGACTGCCCAGGCATCAGTTACTGCAAAGACAAGCCTGCAGGAGTGCTACCGAGGAGACATTGCTTTCCTTAGCCTTAGAGAACTGTCTTCATGTACCAATCTCTGTCATCACAGAAATAAGTTATAGCTTCAATTATACTTACATAATTTCCCAAGATTAAAGCAGCAAAGAAATTGACCAAAGCAAAACATCCAAAAATCAGGCCAACAATGGTGTTACTGGCACCTTTTTTTATTGCCTGCAAAAAAGATCACGACTGTATAAAGACAGAGCAAATGCTCGACGTGGATAACGTTCATGCCTTGTACATTTAATTTTTTTTTTAATTCTCTATTAGTGCATTTACAAAGCAATTTCCTTTCTCAAAGGCAGTAGGGGCTCATAAGGTAACAATACAGCAATTTAAAGACACATTGCATTTCTCCTTAAGCTATACGTAATGAAGGGAAAAGCAATAATCATTCCTCAACAAATAGAAACACTGTGCTGATTGCTGAACAGGCGACCAGCCTTTACACAGGCAGCTTCAGCTGGTGTGCAAGGGAGCTAGCTACAAAGCTTTGATCCCTTGCATGGCAAGAGGGCAGTGAGCAGAGATATCTGTTATCTTCACTGTATCACGCCTCTCCATAAGAAGCAGCAGGCAAATTTTTGACTTATCTAACTGGAAAAATGCATTTCCTTGGGTACAAGCAGTACGTAGGAATATTTAGAGCAAAAATAATCTTAACGTTTCTTTGTTAATACTTGGGAACAACTTGGTCATGAAAGAAATGAAAGAAATTAAATTCTGCTGCGAAGGCACCGCAACCTTTTTTTTTTTTTTTTTATCTTGTATTGAAGCACTGCATTCACTCAACACAAGCAGACATTATTTTTTTCCCCTCCAATTGTTAGGTCAGTAAGTTTTAACACAGTCAACAATGGCAGAGTTAACAGAGAGGTAGCTATAAATAAAAAGTCACTGAAATGCAAGTCAGGACATGGGCAGAGTTTTAATCTCAGCTCTACTACCAAACTGCTATGCAACACTGGGCAAAAAACTATTTCACTTCTCCAATCATCCATTTCAACTTCTCTCTCATATCATTAGTATGCTGTCTTCTCTGTGGCCACAAGGAAGGTGAAATTAGTCCATGGACAGGATCCAGGTCACCATTATATACGCACTAATCTATTTTAGCCAGCATCAGGCTATCACTGTGAATTCCCACAACCGAAAAGTCTAACTCGGACCTTACAGCCAGCCATAAAGGTCCCAGGGTGTTCAAGATCCTTTTAAAAGTTTCAACGTGCAAAAAAAAAATCTAAGGAGTCGCTGGCTAAATTGTTTGTTTACCTCTGAAGGGAAAAAGGGTCCCAGAATTGAGTAGCATATCATTGAACTGAAGTTTATAATAGCTGTCGCAGCCATTGTAAATAGCTGTTCTCTCGTAAGCCTTCTTGGTTCCTCACCAAGTGCTTCTGGCGTGCCATCTTCTTAAAATACAAAAGAAAAAGAAGGAAAAAAAAAAAGTATTATAAACCGATAGAGGGAAGCACAAGTTACAAATCAGGTTTGAAAACTTGAAATCAGCACAAAACTTCCACCTTCCCGGTTCTGGGGAATTA